AGCCAACGAGATCTTCTTATATATTGCCGTTAAGATCTATTCGTGGCAGCACTAGAGGAGCTAGTAAAATATCTATGGTGAGATCTTCTTGAGGTGTTGCGAGGAGCTCACCTCCCGCTAACTACCAACGCCTCAATGGTGACATACTTCTCATAAGGGTAATATTTGTCTATAAAAAATATGTTAATATGAGAAAGTTGTAGTCCCTAAACTTTCAGCATTCTTCTCAAAGTCAACTATGATATTATTTTGTATAGGATTTTACACAATTACTCTGAAAAATTAGAGTTGTTAACGCTATTAGTAGCTGAATTTTGAGCATTGTATCAGTTTTGATCTTCAAACTGTCTTTCTTAGTAGATTACTCTCTGAATTTTAATTTTTTTGAAAGTTTTTGGCGCTTTATAAATTTGAATAAAAAGTTTAAATAGAAATTTAAATTTTTGTGGAAAAATCAAAAAGTGGGGGTAACGTTCCATCATGCTTGTGGTTATTAATTAGCTATTGGTGGTACGTTTGATCAGCACTTCGAAACAGTACCTGGTAAGACATATTTACACAGCAACAACATTGTATTACTCCTTTCTGGTTGGAATGATCTATAAATTAGGCCAGACATATATTTAATATTAAAAGCTTTTGTATATAGCATGGATCGCCCTAATCACTTTTGATAATAATGTGACCCAGAACTAATTTAGAGAGCGACTTGTGGGTGCAAATATATATATATATATGTATGTATGTATGTATGTATGCATGCTGATGATATATATGGTGATATGATCTTCCACAAAAGCGTGTGCAGTTTCGATTCTTCCCCTTCAACATGGAGCCTCCCCACATACTACTACTACTCAGCCATTTATAATTGGACCACTCATGAATTTGTTTCGACGGTCCACTCATGAATTTGTTTCGACGGTCCCAATTTTGTCCTTTTTTTTTCTTTTTCCTGTCCTATAGAGTTTGAGAAATATCAAAGTATTGCCACAAAAGTCGTGCTAATTTATAAGTATACATATGTAGCTTATAAATGAGAGAAGATTTGATGATATAGTTAGAGAAAGGTCATCAAGGATATATATATATATTAAAAGCTTTTGTATATAGCATGGATCGCCCGAATCGTTTTTTATCACAATAATGTGACGGAACTTATTTAGAGAGCGACTTGTGGGTGCAAATATATATATATATATGTATGTATGTATGTATGTATGCATGCTGATGATATATATGGTGATATGATCTTCCACAAAAGCGTGTGCAGTTTCGATTCTTCCCCTTCAACATGGAGCCTCCCCACATACTACTACTACTCAGCCATTTATAATTGGACCACTCATGAATTTGTTTCGACGGTCCACTCATGAATTTGTTTCGACGGTCCCAATTTTGTCCTTTTTTTTTCTTTTTCCTGTCCTATAGAGTTTGAGAAATATCAAAGTATTGCCACAAAAGTCGTGCTAATTTATAAGTATACATATGTAGCTTATAAATGAGAGAAGATTTGATGATATAGTTAGAGAAAGGTCATCAAGGCGGCTAGCTAATTAACTACATCTTTAAAGATGCAAAGATATAAAGGGTTTTATTACATTAACTATTTAATTAATAACATTAACTAAACGATTAATGTTGTGATGTTATGATTAGTACTCTAACAAGGTACGGGAGCCAAGTTCAAACTCTTATAACAATTCTATCAAATTTGATTAGGTACGAACGTTGTAATTAGTAATTATTAACAATTCTTATAGCATTTTTTTTCTGAGAAATAATAGAAAATAGGCCAATATGAAAATCTTAAAAAAGAATATAGGTCAATTTTTAGTTATAGAAATTAATAGGCCATAACTTGTCAAGTTATGGTTCATAACCAGATAAATTATGGACAAACTTATCAAGTTATGGTTCATAGCCAGACAAGTTATAGACAATTATGGACAATAACTTGTCAAGTTATGGTTCATAACCAGATAAGTTATGGACGAAAACATTAATTTGGCCTATTTATTAACTTATGTAAACTATTGGCCTATTAATTTTAATTTATCTCAAGTCTTGACCTATTTTTCTCTTTCTCCCTTTTTTTCTCTATGTATAAGATGGCCCGGTCAACTCCATCTTGTTGTATCATCATTCGTCCAAACATTTTTTTCCCTTTTAGTGACGACAGTCCAAAGTTCAATTCATTAAATAAAGTGAATAAAGTAATGCACGTGTTTTGCGTGTGATGAAAAAAAATACATGTATTGAATATCGTATTCTTTTAGATTTATGTACTTAATTTAATCGATGACACTATGTCAAATTTTAATACACATTTCTAATGAAATAACGCGTTTAGGCAATATGTGTCGACACAAAGTAAAAGTTACAAGGACTATTCATTTTTCTTATGTCGACTAGATCTATTTGTTGACGGTGAATTTCTGTCAATTAAAAATTAACTCTCCGAGAATACTCACAGTAACCTCTCACAGATTAATTAAGGATTAATGTTGCAGAATAATATAGAGAAGACAAGAATTTATAGTGGTTCGGCCAGATTTCTTGGCCTAGTCCACTTCTGGATGCACTAATACTTTGTTGATTACAACCTCTCTGTAGTAGTAGAATAGTGCATAAAAAAAACTTAATGGATTCTCATGGCTCTATTTATAGGCCTTGTACACATGAGAGACCTCCTATACATTTCCCAAGGAGATCATCCTCTATCCCTAAATTATGGGATTTGACAGTTGTATTTTCATGATTACAGCTTCCCGATCAGGCCAACCACCCTTACCGGTTACCTAACTTCCTGACTTCGACAGTAGTAGTTGGTACAGTGTATCTTTCCTTGAGTTGAAAGGACTGTATTTGGATTGGACTACGTTGCTACCTCGACATCATGGCCTTTACCACCTCGTCGGGGCTCTCGACGCACGTTATCCCGCATGAACTCTCGATGTATAAAGGGCACCTTAGGAACAGTCGCCCCCTCGACGCTAGCGACGGATTCTCGACATGGAGGTCTCGGTGCTTGTCGTCCAAAGGAATAATCGATTGCTTGATCGTGGTGTAACAATTACCCCCTAGACTGGGATATCACATTGTGATGTTCCAGGCTATGCAGCGTCGAGAGTTCCACGTGGCAACTTCTCTCCTGCAGATTATGGCGGCTACTTGTAGGTACAGTGCCATCATTACAGCGAGTTTCTCAGGCAGTGGAGCAGTCTCGTCGATCTTGTCAACAGTCACGTCCCCCATACCCTGGTGACACGTGGCAGTCAAGGGGGAAGTTGCACCCGTCCGATTCGATTTATTTCTCCCGCTCTTATCCCAGCCGCTGGATCACGTCTCTTCAGATTCACTATTGGATGAGGTTGGTTTGAATTCGACGGTCGAGATCTGGGGTCGTTCGGACTCCTCTAAGACTCCTGGGCTTCTCCCTCGGGTATATATATGCCCCTTGAGACAGTTTCATAGGTTCCCACTTTTCAGAACGCCGTTACTCTGCTGGATTTCCCCCAGGAGTTACCATATCTGACTTCAACTTCCGCGTGCATTTTCCGTACGTGGATCTCCCCGAGGTTCCAGTCTTCATGCCACCTTAAGGACTAGTAAGTGGCTTCGTTCCTTTTGTTTTTCCTGCGTGATTCTAGAACCGATGCTTGTAAAAGAAAAAGTGATATGTTAAAAGAAATGCACTTACTTGGTTGTCAGTCATGAAATTGGGGCTGAGCATGGGTGGCATTATTCACTTGGGCTCAGTTGCTCTTGATGGGTGTCCTCAGGCTCATTTCTGGATTCTAGGGACCCATGCATAAGTTTTCCTTTTATCTTCACGCTGCGTTCCAAACTCTGGGGCCTCTCTGATCTGAGCATGCTCCCGTTTCTTCTTGAATCTTGTTTCTGGCCTTTCGACCATTAGGTACTAACTCGGGCCCTTCTGTGTTTATTTCCAGAGCATGCCGCCTAAACAGGTTAGAGGTTGAGAGGTCTTCACTTCCAGGCTTAGGGATGACCCTGAACATGCCGCGTCAACGAGTACGTCTTCAGGCGACAGCGGGGATTCTGTACTTCGTTAGGTGGAAGAATACACTGAGGGGTCGGTCTCGACCTATCAGCCGGACGAGCTAATTCTCCTTGATGATGAGGACGATGGCCTAAGGGTCAGCCCTACTGAGGGGCGTGGTTCTGGGGTGGCGTCGACCAGTGGCGTATCAGGAATGGTGACAGATGTCAATCCGTCGAAGATAAAGCCCCGGGTTTCCATGAAGGCATTTCACGATGCGGGGATCGATGCCAACAATTTTTATTTGATTATTCTGACCCCCAACGATAGGGCTCACAACCCCCCTGCCAATTACATGACCGTATACACACGCTCCCTTAGTTTTGAGCAGACTCTACCTTTTCACCCTTTTGTGAAGGCCCTTTATGGCCTTGACAGGATTTCCCCCGCATAATTGTCACCCAATTGCTGGGTGACAATAAACTCCATGATCATTTTGTGGAGAAAATTTTTGAACCTTGACATAACCGTCGAGGAATTCTTATAATGTTACGCCCTTAGGGGTACCCCGGGTCAGAGGGGGTTATTCTACTTAGGCTCCCACTCCAAATCCAAACCTCCAGTCCCCCCTGTCGTGCTTGAGAAGACCTCTAGTTGCCACGGGTGGAAGCCCTAGTTCTTTTTCCTTGGTGGCAACTTTAACTCTCACCCGCTCGACGATAAGCGTCCCCTGGGGATGCAGACAGTATTCAGCAAATACTGTAGGTTTCCTCTTCATTGAATTTTTGTAACATCTCCCCATTTGTCGAGTTATCTTACATACGTTGCTCTTTACTATAGGTGAAGTCTGCACTCGACTGAAGCTTTCTTCAGCTGCCTTAGCATGAGTTGAGTAGATCATGTCCCGTTCTGACTCTAGCCGAAGCTCCGCCGTTCTCAATACCCCAGAGAACCGTCGGCTGTACAGTTTGGTGGTCACCCTCGAACCTCTACGCTAGCCAGTTATGCACCTTTCCTCCAAAAGGTCGAGCTCCAAGCCCATTTGCTTGGCGTTCCTATTCTCTTCATACTGTGTCACTCGGCTGGTAGGAATGGATATCTCGACTGGAAGGACCACTTCCACCCCATAAGCCATTGAGCAGGGAGTTTCCCCCGTGGTAGTCCTACTGGTTGTCCTGTAGGCCCACAGGACCTTCGGTACCTCATCTGCCAACTTTCCTTTGTAACTGTTGAGTCGCCGCTTCAGCGTGACTTTAATGATCTTGTTGACCACCTCGACCTGTCCGTTGGACTGGGGATATACAATAGAGGAAAAGTTTTTATGGATACCTAGCAATTCACAGAGCTGATTGGTGTTATCGTTGTTAAACTATCTCCTATTATCTGATACGAGAGAATGTGGTACACCGAATTGGCAGACTATGTTGTTCCATATGAAGTTTGTGCATTTTTCCTTCGGTATTGTCGTTAGTGGCTCGGCTTCAACCTACTTCGTAAAGTAATCGACAGCTACAATGGCATACTTGTATCCCCTAGGGGTCTTGTGTAATGGGCCGATGAGATCAGTCCCCCATTTAGCAAAAGGCCAAGGAGAGACTATCGATGTTAGATATTTCGAATGCAGTAAAGGAATAGGGGCGTATCTTTGGTAGCCTTCGCATTTCTTTGCATATTCAGCTGCTTCCTTCTTGAGGTTAGGTCAGTAATACCACAGTCTCAGCACCTTATAAGCTAGGGACTGCCCCCTGTGTGGTTTCCACATACCCCTGTTGGGAATAATGTCCTAGAAGCATAAGCTGTAATAGGATATTTATTATTTAATTAATAAAAGAGTTTATTCATCATTTTTATGTGCATATATTTATGAATATTTTATTAATATCAAATGAAAATTCCATGATTATTTATGCAACCTTAAACATAATATATAAGTGTTATATACGAGAGGATAGTGTTTAAGGATAATAATAAAAAAATATTGTTCCTAATGAATTTAATTAAAGTTTAGAATATTTAATTAAAACATTATTAATACATGTCATTCCCATTTAGAATGGAACGGTGCTATCCGCACTGTTAATATGGTGAGATATTGAATGAGTGCATTTCGTATAATGAGATTGTGTGGAACAAGGACATAGACATAATATGAATTTCTAATAATTTCCGTTAAGCATAGAAATTCTAATTGAGTCTACCGATTGTCATATATAGAATGATCTTAATCCTGAGTTCTTAACAAACTCCTATTTATGGATTTATGTCTTTTGATTTACTCGGTACGGATTCCAGGGCCCTGAATCCTATTCCTTGTATTTTGGAGACATGATGAAATAGGTCTCCGAGAATGTTATTATACGAGATGGAATCCATTTCTTCTTGAGAAAGAAGTAGATAAATAATTCTCTTGAGTGTTGATTCGGTACTTGGATTAGTAAGAGCGCTCTGGTTCATGAATGTGTTTTATGAATCACTATCCATTAGAGAATCAATGGTACTCAAGGATGAATATATAATTAGAGAGGTTAATAGATTCTACCTGACTCTAATTATGAATTATTTATGGATGATTGATCAATATGTAATGACTATATCAAATGGACACTTCACAGTTTAGAAGTAATTAATGTCTATAATTTCGAGAGTTCAATTCCAAGTTTATAGTGGAGTAACTATTGGAATTAATAGAATTAATTAATTAATTAAAGTGTTAATTAATTATTAATTTTATTGGAGCTCGGGATTATAGGTCCATTAGTCCCCGCGTCGTCCTTGTAATTCTACCAGACACAAAGGACAAAATGAGAATTTTAGAATTATGGAATTCTAAAATTAAATACTCAAAAAATAATTAATTGAGAATTAATTATTATTTAAATAATGTGATTATTTAAATTTGAATTTGAATAATGAACATAATTTAAATTTATCCTTTTAAACTTATTTGATAAGTTGTTCAATTTAGAATTCAAATAATTTAAGTTTGACTTAAATTCGAATTTGAATTTAAATTAAAATTGGACTACAGGATAAATGATGATTTCTCTTCCTTCCCTATCTGTAATTGGCACCACACACAGGGTAAAAACCCTAAGGGGTGGCCGGCCACAATAGATAAGAAAGAGGGAAATTTTTTGTTCAAAATTCAAATAGGAGAGAGAGATTTGATTCATTCTAGAAGTTTGACTTCTACTCTTTAAATAAGAGAATGATAGAAAATTGTGAATACAATTTTTGAAAAGATTTTTCTGCCCTAATTGTTAGTGTGGCCGAAAATTCTCAAGGAAAAAGAGAGGAAAATTTTTTCTCCCAAAAAATTCCACATCGTGCATGCGTTGATGTTTTTGGAAATTCGAGTGTTTTTCAAACCTGTTTTGTCTCACGTGTGCCCACACACACGTCTACGTGGAATCAAGGGATTGACGTGTAAGACTTTGGTTTTCTAAACATAAAGATTGGAGCAAGGATTGTTCGTGGTCAAAGAACTCAAGTTATCATCTGAGTCAGCCTCTAAGTATTTTTCCTAATTGATTTCTTGACATATAAATTAATGTGATTAATTTATTCGTACACAAATTAATATAATTTATATAGTATCTCAAAAGTTTTATGAAAATTTTTGTTATACACAATCCGCCTTCCCGCCACACTTCCGCATCCGAATTTGATTCGATTTCCAACAACCCCGTCATGTACTTTTGAGAGCACCCTTTTTGCTTCTTCTTCATCAAGGCACCGGAGCAAGGGTGTCGAGAATCCCCTTCGATAAAGAATAACGTCATGCATGGTGAATCTCGACGCCTGGTACCTTAGCCTTTTTGCTTGCTGTTTGTCCTCTGGGAGTTCACCGTCAAGCAAATATCTTATGATTGGGTCCTTCCAGCTCGGCTGGTGACTCATTGACATGACTTCAAGCTTTCCCTCAGTGGAAGGATCTTTTAAGACCTCCACGGGTACTAGCTTCAACAGCTCGGCATCCTTTGAGGTGGCTAGCCTGGGAAGGGCGTCAGCGTTACTATTTTCTGCCCTTGGCACTTGCTGTATGTCGTAGGCCGTGAGTTTTTCTAAGGCCTCTTTAACCTTCTCAAGGTAGGCTGCCATCTTTTCATCCCTGGTTTGATATTGGCCTTTCACTTGGTTCACGACTAGTTGTGAATCGCTGGAGATGTCTATAGCCTCCACTTTTAGGTGTTCTGCCAACCGGAGTCTGGCCAGTAACACTTCATATTCTGCTTTATTGTTAGATGTGGGGAATTCAAACCTGACGGCTGAGGTTACTTTGTGACCCTCTGGGGTATGCAATACCAACTCTGCTCCACTGCCGTTGTCATTGGAGCTTCCGTCGACATAGAGTTTCCAACTGAGTGGCCCGCCAACAACCTCTGCTTCATTCGGCAACCCCATGAACTCAGCAACAAAGTCGACCAGGGCTTGGCCCTTGATGGCTATCCGCGGCTTGTAATCAATGTCGAACTGGCTGAGCTCTATGGACCACTTAAGGAGTCTTCCAAAAGTGTCAGGCTTTTGCAATACCTGCCGTTAGTTTGGTGTTGATCTTTTCCATCTGCGGATACCTCGTCTTTGCGTCGAGGAGGCGCTTGCTAGTGTAATACACCGGCAGCTACACCTTCTTCTATAAACAGACCAACACCGAACTAACGACATGTTCAGAGACCGCCAGATACAAGCTCAGCACCTCTCCGGTCGTAGGCTTGGATAGTAGGGGTGGCTTCCTAATGTGCTCCTTCAATTGTTGGAACGCGTGTTCGCACTCCTCCGTCCATTGAAACGGCTTGCTTCCTCTCAGGGTGTCAAAGAACGATATACACTTATCTGTAGATTTCAAGATGAACCTATTGAGCACGACAATACAATCCATTAGCTTATTGACTTCTTTCAGTTTCTGTGGTGATTTTATGTCGAGGAGGGTCTGTACCTTCTCTGGATTAGCCTCGATTCCTCGACTACTCACCATAAAACCTAAGAATTTTCCCAATTTGACCTTGAACGCACACTTAAGGGGATTAAGCTTCATCCTATACTTCCGCAGGATGTCGAACATTCCCTTAAGGTCCTCCACATAGTCCTTAGACTTTTTGCTCTTTACCAGCATATCATCGACATATACCTCCATCTTTTTATCTATCTAGTCTGCGAAAATCCTGTTGACCAGGCGTTGATATGTTGCTCCCACATTTTTTAGGCCAAAGGGTATGACCTTGTAGCAATACAGGCCCCTATCAGTGATAAATTATGTGTGCTCTTCGTCGCGGTGAAACATCGGTATCTGGTTGTAGCTAGAATCGGCGTCCATAAAACTCAAAAGTTTATGCCCTGTCGTGGCGTCGACCAGCTGATCTATCCTCGAGAGTGGAAAGTTGTCCTTTGGACATGCTTTGTTTAGGTCGCTGAAGTCGACATAGGTCCGCCATTGTCCGTTGGGTTTTAATACTAGTACAGGGTTCAAAACCCACTCGGGGTACAGAACGTCCCGGATGAAGTCATTTCTTATTAATTTGTCGACCTACTCCCGTAGAGCCTCATACCTCTCGGCATTCATTGGTTGACCCTTTTGCCACTTGGGGGGATACTTCTCATCTATGTTGAGCATATGGCTCATTATGTCCGGGCTTATCCCCTCCATGTCCTCGTGGGTCCAAGCAAACACGTCAGGGTTACTCCTGAGGAATTCTATCAGCCCTTCCCGACTATGTTCTTCAAGTTCTGAGCCTACTCTCAGTTTTCTTGTCGGTTATTTTTCATCAATGGAGACCTCAATCAATTCATCGACCGGTCTCGTTCCCATCTCTTCGTCTGAGAGTCTTGGATCTAAGTCGGCCTTCTGTGCTTTGGTCACCACCATCCTCATCTCTCTTCTTGCCTGCCCCGGCTCGGCGTAATGACGGACTGTCTCTGAGTATGTGAGCCTCGACTCATACTGGTTTCCCCTGACTCTTTCGATTCTGCTGGGGGTCGAGAATTTCATCATTTGATGGTAGATCGACGTGACTGCTTTTAATGCCTTCAGCGTCGGTCACCCTATGACTGCGTTGTACTGGTCACCTCCTTTCACCACCAAGAACCGTGACATAACGGTCGAAGTGTGTGGTCGGTCACCAATTGTCATTGGTAGTTCTATCATTCTCTCAAGAACGACGCAATCCCCGGTGAAGCCGTACAGGGGTTATATGTTGTAATGCAGTCTCGCTCGAGGGATCCTTATCTTGTCCAGGCAATCGGCATAGAATGTCTACCGAGCTGTCGTTATAAACTAGGATGCAGCAAACCGTGTGGTTACCAATCATGGCCTCCACTACTAGAGCATCACTTTGGGGGAAATGCACTCTATTTGTGTCTGCCTCCGAAAACATTATCTCGGCCTCTTCAAATCTTCCGGCCTTCACCTCTCTGCCGGACACACTCATGACCCTTTGGTTGAATTTTTCCTTCGCCTCTCTTGCGTATTCTTTCTATGAGCGACGAGAGGTACCACCAATATACGGCCCTCCAAAAATTATCCTTATCACACCGACAGGTTCGGGGGGATGGTCTTGCCTTTGGTTCTCCCATCAGTCGTTGTTCCTCCGATTGTTGTTACCCCGTCAGTCGGCATGATACTCACTGAGCCTCCCTTCCTGGATCAGCCTCTCAACTTCATCCCTAAGGTCGAAACATTTGGTGGTCGTGTGTCCGCTCTCGCTGTGAAACCTGCAATACTTGCTTTGGTTTCTCCACGATGGTGGGCGACGCAGTACCTAGAGGTGACTCATCTCGTGATAGACGTCCTCGATCCCCATGGTTAAAGGGGTGTAGGCGTCTTACTTTTACAGTTTGGCTCGCTTGGTTTCCCCCTGCCCTGCCGAGGCGTTGCCACCACTGTTGTTTAGGGCCGGGTTATACCTTTACTTTGTTTGCACCTGCGCTTACCTCAGCGCTTCTTGCCATTATTTTGGTGGCTCAATTGTCCCATTTCTTCTTTGGTGGGGGCCACCACCTTGCTCTTTAAGGCCTTTTTGGCCTCCTCTGCGTTAATGAATCCCTAGGCCTTCGCCAGGAATTCGTGGTAGGTCTGGGGTGGTCTTCGGTCGAGGTCTGTGCTGTATGGGATGTCATTCTTCATGCTCGATAGGGTCCCCATCAAAGCTACCTCATCAGAGATTCCCTCGGTGGCGGCCACCTATTCTCCGAACCGGGCTATCCAATCTTTTAGGGACTCGTTTGGTCCCTGATACACCCTCGAAAGGTTTTGCTTTGGTGGGATGTACTTTTTGACACCTATGAACTAAGTCAGGAAAGTGTTTTTCAAGTCAACCCAGCTGGTAATGGAGTTTGGTTTTAAGGACATAAACCATTTCCTGACGGAGTCAGAAAGATGATTTCTAAACATCTAGCACATGACCTCCTTAGGGTACCCATGTAGGACCATGTGTAGACTTCCAGGTCGTCGTCCGGATCACTCCTTCCATCATATAGCGGAATAGGTGGAGGCTTATCCTTATCGAGCAACAGCACCTGGATAATGTTCTCTGTGAATGAGTGGTCGTGAGACGTATACATCTTGGCGTCGGCCACCTTTCCCACAACTTGCTCAAAGTTGTTTAGCTGACTCCCTATTTGCTTTTCTAGCCTGGCCATCTTCTCGGCCAGGGTTTTATTCTCAGCCGCGAGCTCTTCCTCCATGGCCCGCTGCATATCTCGGTCGCGTCGAGCATTCAGCTGCTCCATCAGGTCTCCCCTGCGTACGGACGAAGATTCTACCGAAACTGCTTTCCTCCGATTCACGTTCTCCTGTGGTCGAAGAGGTACCTCTCGGTCATTTGTTGTCTGGGCCGCAGCCCTCTCATGGGCTCTCCTCCTTGCAACTCGTTGCCTGCTTCCCACAGATCTATTCAACTTGGCTGGGCGGGGGCTGTTGGCCCCACTGTCACTGACTCCCTCGGCGTCACCACGTCGGTCACCAATTACTTGGTTCTCGACGGCGGCGTTCACCGGGTTCATCGGCGCACCCTCTGATGGTGGCATCGAATTTGGCCTTTGCTCCCGTCCGACGAGGGTTGTGGCCATCCTCTCTACGTCCACAACAAGTGTTCCAACCTGCCTTTGGAGCTGGTCAAGGCGGTCTGGAAGGTTGTCAGCGGCCGGTGGTTGCGCCCTGCGGTTGGGCCGTGCCCCCGCTGGTTCTTTACCGCCGTTGGGCAGATTCGTCGAATTCCTTCCTCCAACGGCAGGATTCTAGCCTTCCTGGCTTTTCTGAGTTGACGTCATGCTGCGGGTTATTCTCGGATGAGCCATATTCACTGCTTACTGCTGGATTGATTTCTGGGTTTTAGGGGCCCTTCCTTTAGTGCTAATTGTTGACGGTGGATTTCTGTCAACTAAAGATTAACTCTCCGAGAACACTCATAGTAACCTCTCGCTGATTAATTAAGGATTAATGTTGCATAATAATATAGAGAATACAAGAATTTATAGTGGTTCGGTAAGATTTCTTGGCCTAGTCCACTTGTGGATGCACTAATACTTTGTTGATTACAACCTCTCTAGAATAGTAGAATAGTGCGTAAAAAAAAACTTAATGGATTCTCATGGCTCTATTTATAGGCCTTGTACACATGAGAGACCTCCTCTACATTTACCGAGGAGTTCATCCTCTATCCCTAAATTCTGGGATTTGGCAGTTGTATTTTCGTGATTACAGCTTCCCGGTCAGGCCAACCACCCTTATCGATTACCTGACTTCGACAGTAGTAGTTGGTACAATGTATCTTTCCTTGAGTTGACAGGACTATCTTTAGATTGGACTAGGTTGCTACCTCGACGTCGTGGCCTTTATCACCTTGTTGGGGCTCTCGACGCACGTTATCCCGCATGAACTCTCGATGTATAAAGGGCACCTTAGGTACAGTCGTCTCCTCGACGCCAGCGACCGATTATCGACATGGAGGTCTCGGCGCTTGTCATCCAAAGGAATGATCGATTGCTCGACTGTGATGTAACACTATTCATTAGTCACTATATATTATTGAAAATATAGTTTGCTAAGAAAAAGAGAGAAAATGAGGGGGCAAAGTATAATTAGCAGGAGTGTAAAGAGAGCCAAAGCATATACGGACCCCAACGCATGCGCACCAACAAGGAAATGATATTTTACCTTGAAATAGTCAAACTTTTATGAATTAAAATATATCATCTGAGTTTCGACTTTTATAAAACAAATGATAATGCACCCTTCAACTTTAGAAGAACAGTTGTCGTGTCAGAGATATTTATCTTCATGAAGCAACTTTGCAATGAATAATAAAAAGAGGTAGGGTAAGAAGACAATGCTAAGTAACATCGTTGGTATATACTATATATTAGGATAAATTATATTTATCCCGACATGAATAAAACTCATCATTTCATAAATAGTGAGTCTTATTAAATTAAGTTCTACTTATTTATTTAAGGTCCGTTCATTTTGTCGTTTTGAGTTTAAAATTCGAGTTTTGTTACAATAAAAAGTTCTCAGAAACAGTTACATCTAATTTTTTTTACTACAGTAAAAATCTCTTAAATAAAAATACATCTTAACTTGAATTAAAAATTCAAATCAGAGAACTAAACAGACCCTTAATAAGACTCATTTTATGTAAATAGTAGATTTTAATCCTATTGAGATAAATGTGATCATATAATAGTACTACTTGTTTGTGACAACGGCATGAAAACCTGTACGTAATAAGAAGGATTCAAATTCTACAATATTAGTGTTTTATTCATGAATTAGAATTATAAAATTAGAATTATTTTTTATTTACGTATATTTTTTATGATAAAAAATATTATATCAAATCATAAATTATGATTCGAATTAAAGTATAAATTCTCTAACTAAACGACCTAAATACGACAGTTGGAAACCAGGTTGTTTCAATAATGAACTGCAAATCTTCAAACTTTTCTGCCTCGTCTAAAAATTAAATGTCAAAATCAAATAAAAACAACATGAGAAGACAGAAGTGTATTTTTCTCTACTTTTTAACCAAAAAAAAAAAATCGAGCTGGCATCGTCTTTGGCCTTCCATCCATAGAAGGAAATCTCTTGACCGTACTACTTAATCCAATCTAATAATTATTCTGGGGCCCTTACGG